TTTTGTAAAAAATCAAAAAGTTGTCTTTTCTCACTGGATACTGAATGTAATGAGTTGAACTCTTCAGGGAATTCAATTCTGGCCTCTAGGCACCTCGTGTGAACTTTTGAGCAATTTTCGTCAACTTTGATTTTTGGGTGAAAAACTGACTTTTTTCGATGATGCCGGCTATGGAAAACGTTGAAGTTTTGGGGCATTTTGTAAAAAATCAAAAGTTGTCTTTTCTCACTGGATACTGAATGTAATGAGTTGAACTCTTCAGGGAATTCAATTCTGGCCTCTAGGCACCTCGTGTGAACTTTTGAGCAATTTTCGTCAACTTGATTTTTGGGTGAAAAACTGACTTTTTCGATGATGCCGGCTATGGAAAACGTTGAAGTTTTGGGGCATTTTGTAAAAAATCAAAAGTTTCTTTTCTCACTGGATACTGAATGTAATGAGTCTCTTCAGGGAATTCAACTCTGGCCTCTAGGCACCTCGTGTAATTTTTTGAGCAATTTTCGTCAACTTTGATTTTTGGGTGAAAAACTGACTTTTTCGATGATGCCGGCTATGGAAAAACGTTGAAGTTTTGGGGCATTTTGTAAAAAATCAAAAAGTTGTCTTTTCTCACTGGATACTGAATGTAATGAGTTGAACTCTTCAGGGAATTCAATTCTGGCCTCTAGGCACCTCGTGTGAACTTTTGAGCAATTTTCGTCAACTTTGATTTTTGGGTGAAAAACTGACTTTTTCGATGATGCCGGCTATGGAAACGTTGAAGTTTTGGGGGCATTTTGTAAAAATCAAAAAGTTGTCTTTTCTCACTGGATACTGAATGTAATGAGTTGAACTCTTCAGGGAATTCAATTCTGGCCTCTAGGCACCTCGTGTGAACTTTTGAGCAATTTGGTCAAGTTGATTTTTGGTGAAAAACTGACTTTTTCGATGATGCCGGCTATGGAAAACGTTGAAGTTTTGGGGCATTTTGTAAAAAATCAAAAAGTTGTCTTTTCTCACTGGATACTGAATGTAATGAGTTGAACTCTTCAGGGAATTCAATTCTGGCCTCTAGGCACCTCGTGTGAACTTTTGAGCAATTTCTTCAACTTTGATTTTTGGTGAAAAAACTGACTTTTTCGATGATGCCGGCTATGGAAACGTTGAAGTTTTGGGGGCATTTTGTAAAAAATCAAAAAGTTTCTTTTCTCACTGGATACTGAATGTAATGAGTTGAACTCTTCAGGGAATTCAATTCTGGCCTCTAGGCACCTCGTGTGAACTTTTGAGCAATTTTGGTCAACTTTGATTTTTGGGTGAAAAACTGACTTTTTCGATGATGCCGGCTATGGAAAACGTTGAAGTTTTGGGGCATTTTGTAAAAAATCAAAAAGTTGTCTTTTCTCACTGGATACTGAATGTAATGAGTTGAACTCTTCAGGGAATTCAATTCTGGCCTCTAGGCACCTCGTGTGAACTTTTGAGCAATTTTTGTCAACTTTGATTTTTGGGTGAAAAACTGACTTTTTCGATGATGCCGGCTATGGAAAACGTTGAAGTTTTGGGGCATTTTGTAAAAAATCAAAAAGTTTTCTTTTCTCACTGGATACTGAATGTAATGAGTTGAACTCTTCAGGGAATTCAATTCTGGCCTCTAGCACCTCGTGTGAACTTTTGAGCAATTTTCGTCAAGTTTGATTTTTGGGTGAAAAACTGACTTTTTCGATGATGCCGGCTATGGAAAACGTTGAAGTTTTGGGGGCATTTTGTAAAAATCAAAAAGTTGTCTTTTCTCACTGGATACTGAATGTAATGAGTTGAACTCTTCAGGGAATTCAATTCTGGCCTCTAGGCACCTCGTGTGAACTTTTGAGCAATTTTGTCAACTTTGATTTTTGGGTGAAAAACTGACTTTTTCGATGATGCCGGCTATGGAAAACGTTGAAGTTTTGGGCATTTTTAAAAAATCAAAAGTTTTCTTTTCTCACTGATACTGAATGTAATGAGTTGAACTCTTCAGGGAATTCAATTCTGGCCTCTAGGCACCTCGTGTGAACTTTTGAGCAATTTTTCGTCAACTTTTGATTTTTGGGTGAAAAACTGACTTTTTCGATGATGCCGGCTATGGAAAACGTTGAAGTTTTGGGGCATTTTGTAAAAAATCAAAAGTTGTCTTTTCTCACTGGATACTGAATGTAATGAGTTGAACTCTTCAGGGAATTCAATTCTGGCCTCTAGGCACCTCGTGTGAACTTTTGAGCAATTTTGGTCAACTTTGGATTTTTGGGTGAAAAACTGACTTTTTCGATGATGCCGGCTATGGAAAACGTTGAAGTTTTGGGGCATTTTGTAAAAAATCAAAAAGTTGTCTTTTCTCACTGGATACTGAATGTAATGAGTTGAACTCTTCAGGAATTCAATTCTGGCCTCTAGGCACCTCGTGTGAACTTTTGAGCAATTTTCGTCAACTTTGATTTTTGGGTGAAAAACTGACTTTTTCGATGATGCCGGCTATGGAAAACGTTGAAGTTTTGTGGGCATTTTGTAAAAATCAAAAAGTTGTCTTTTCTCACTGGATACTGAATGTAATGAGTTGAACTCTTCAGGGAATTCAATTCTGGCCTCTAGGCACCTCGTGTGAACTTTTGAGCAATTTTCGTCAACTTTGATTTTTGGGTGAAAAACTGACTTTTTCGATGATGCCGGCTATGGAAAACGTTGAAGTTTTGTGGGCATTTTGTAAAAAATCAAAAAGTTGTCTTTTCTCACTGGATACTGAATGTAATGAGTTGAACTCTTCAGGGAATTCAATTCTGGCCTCTAGGCACCTCGTGTGAACTTTTGAGCAATTTTCTTCAACTTTGATTTTTGGGTGAAAAACTGACTTTTTCGATGATGCCGGCTATGGAAACGTTGAAGTTTTGGGGGCATTTTGTACAAAATCAAAAAGTTGTCTTTTCTCACTGGATACTGAATGTAATGAGTTGAACTCTTCAGGGAATTCATTTCTGGCCTCTAGGCACCTCGTGTGAACTTTTGAGCAATATTCGTCAACTTTGATTTTTGGGTGAAAAACTGACTTTTTCGATGATGCCGGCTATGGAAAACGTTGAAGTTTTGGGGGCATTTTGTAAAAAATCAAAAAGTTGTCTTTTCACACTGGATACTGATGTAATGAGTTGAACTCTTCAGGGAATTCAATTCTGGCCTCTAGGCACCTCGTGTGAACTTTTGAGCAATTTTCGTCAACTTTGATTTTTGGGTGAAAAACTGACTTTTTCGATGATGCCGGCTATGGAAAACGTTGAAGTTTTTGGGGGCATTTTGTAAAAAATCAAAAAGTTGTCTTTTCTCACTGGATACTGAATGTAATGAGTTGATCTCTTCAGGGAATTCAATTCTGGCCTATAGGCACCTCGTGTGAACTTTTGAGCAATTTTCGTCAACTTTGATTTTTGGGTGAAAAACTGACTTTTTCGATGATGCCGGCTATGGA